AGATGGAGAAAGCTCTGGAGAGGGAGAAACAGAACCGGACCCCGAGTGAGGTGGTCAAGCCCAGCACCTCAAAAGAGCCAGAAGCTCATCCAGAACCCAGTGGGACGACAAAACCAGTCAACCTGTAATCTAACCTCGGACTGTTAAATGTTCATTCTATGATGAAAGTTGTGCTTTAAGGCTTAAAGTACATGTATTTATGCTACTTTTACCAGCTAAATGTACTGTGTATAATAAATACATGTTTTAATAGTGGAGGGCACAAGTGAAAATACTATTTTCCCTTTTTCTAATTTAATATAAAATAATTCATTACATCAGCACAAGTTTATTGAAAAATGTAATGAATTTCAGAATATTTTGCACGCCACTCTTTTGCTTTAATGACAGCATCTGGAATTGCACAGTCAGCCCAGAGGATGGCGCTACTAGAAGCTACAATTTCTTTGCCAGAAGAGAGGAGGCTAAACATTTTCCATTAAATTATGAAAATAAGAGATGTCACTAATTACATTCAATAAATTGTAATAATTGACTGAAGTAGGTCTGAAATATAGATTGTAAGATCCTGGTCACAGGTTTACTGCCACTGATTTTTCAATGGGTCAAAAACAGAAATGAAACCATCACAAGACTTTTACATCCAAATTTATTTTACAAAAGAAAACTTACTTCTCTTTACACATCTATTTCCCAAAAAACATATAGTGTTTCTTTAATCTGATGATGCAAATGGAATATTATGCATGCAGTTTTGCATCACTCTCAAATACCATCCTGCACAAGTAATACCCACAATTCCATTTGAAGCTATTAAGTTGCAGGTAAGAGGCAGGTAAAGCATTAGCATGCAGCACTGTACACATTTGCATAGTAAATGGCTGTCATTTATTTTGGATTAATTTCTCATCGTCCTTTACCAACATGCCGTTGCATGAAACAGAACTTTCACTGAGGAACAAAACAAAAAAATCGATTCTCAGGATGGAAGGGTCAGTGAAACTCATTCACCATGGTTTTACCGGGGTAGTGGTGTGATTATAGGAAGTACATCATTTGTTTTTACAAAATGAATTAGGTCTGATCAGTTGTTGAACAATTTAACCACATACAGAATGACATTTAAAACTAAATATAGGATGAATATGCTTAACACACATTTAAATACATCCCCAGAGCTCTCAAAGAGGCACAGAAAGAAACTTTCTGTTTGCAAAAGTAAAAAAGAAAAAGAAAATACCTTATTAAAAAGTTACGGCATAAAGTTACAAACAGGGAATGTCTTGATGTCTTGACTGAAATTGAATATATATATATATATATATATATATATATAAAGCAATGCTGGTCCTGAGTGTTGGCTACAATACTGACACCAAACATGATTTAAATTTAAAATGTAGACCAAAGGACCTTGAGATGTAATTATGGCATATACACAAAAATGTGTTTCTTTACCAAAAACAAAAATAAAAACCTCCAAAAAATTATGTACATCTGGAAACAACAATATATATTAACTATTGGTTAATTTGACAATGTCCTCAAATAGAAAGAGGTTTCATAAATAGACTAAATAATGTCTAGATTGTTATTTTAAGCACACGATTCAACAGTCAACTGTAATTTTAACTATAAATAATTTCATAACAATACTGTTAGTCAACTGGTTCCCAGTAACAGCCCAATAAGGTCCCAATTAAACCCATTTATAGTGTGAATCCTCACATTCTACATGACTCAGAGAGTGGTACATAACCTGCTTTAAACAGGACAGATGAATTGTGTTTTTTCTATAATAGTTTATGAAATATTGCACATGGATAATGGAGGTGGGCAGGGGAAATGGGGGTGGCAGTGATCAGAGAATAAGGACACTTTACCCAAACTACATCGACTTCTACTCGCCCCTCAAATCCAGTAAGAAACGTTTAAAAAACGTTCACTGAATGTTATCTAATGCTACGTACAGTATATTCTGAAAATAGCCTACTGACAGACATCATTTCTTTCTTACTGGTTCTGCACATAGCAAATCCAGTAGTTTATTACTATCAAAGCTACCTCTTCATATAGGCTAAATGCTCTCAGGTAGAACTTAAAGCAGAATGGAAACTGGGTCAATCCAGTCATTTCCACACCAATCACATACAAAAACATTTAGTATTAACACTCAGATATGATTAAACCAACTATATGAAGCCACTGAAGGATAAGTATCAACACTGCTTTTGTTCTCTCTCTGTGCATTACAAACGCACACACAACACAACACAATTAAGGTAATCAAGCCAGATCGCAGAACTGTTGTGATTTGTAATACCAAGAAACGAGTCGAGAAAAAATGCACATGTCAAGATCCAGACAACATTTAAATAACTGTGCTAACATCAAATAGAAGCATTGTCTGGAGCCATTTATCACAATGAATACAAAAAGACAAATAACAATGCGATGGACAATTGTCAAATAAGAAAAATAAAATCGGAAAAAGTCAGTTACATAAACCATCAGCACAACCAAGTAGTTTTGCACATGCAAAGGCAGAACGCATGATTTGATCAAATGAGCACTTAGAAATACAGTGAGTGAACAGCTTTTTGCAAACAGGCCCAATGAAAATCATTCAAGAAAAAACATGTTTTACAGATAAAGCTTTCACGCTGTGTTTTGTGTTATGTACTCTTAAGCTGCGTCCGAAATCGCATACATTATAGTAGGTACTACATTTGGTTTGAAACTTACTTCGCAACGGTTAAAAATGTATGTTCTATGTAGTATGAATGAAATTCGAACGTACTACATCCACCATTTCGTCATTGTCATGTGACATACGGCGCCAGTTGCATCGCTTCACTGCCATTCATAAATCCTCTCCCGTGGCCTCATGGGATAGTAAAGTGTCCATCAAACGCGCACTACGGAATCTCGCCGGAAATAGTAGGTCATCCAGGTACTTTTCGCCTACTGTTTTATGAATTCGGACATACTACTCGGATCACATACAGTGTTTCGCCAATGAATAGCATGGAAGTAGGCATATTCGGACGCAGGGTTATTTTAATATTCTGGTTCATTTCCTTTAGTTCCTGTTTCCCTGAACTGTTTAGTTTCAGATTCCTTGGTTACTGATTATGTCCTCGTTTGTTTCCTCCTTGGTTATATATTATTATCACCTGTGCATCTTTATATTTGCGATGTATATACTCCCTTTTCAGTTCAGTACTTTGTCAGTTCTCTTTTATGGATTACCTTGGTTTGCTGAGTGTTACATATTTATAGATAATGACTCCTAAGTCTCACCATGCGTGCTGCAAGCCAACCCGTGACAAAACAATGCATTTCCTTTTACAGCTTGTACGTTGTATCTTAGTTTGTCTAAAGTCCAATTTTAATTCTAGTACTCCGTACCTCCTACAGCAACCAGAGACTATACTATTGGTCAGGCACGCACTAAATAGTTCAAGATTAGTAATAGTCATAATAGTTAATGACTGTTTCATAAAGCTTAATAGGGCAGGGGAACTTTATCATGACTCAATGACAGAATGGATCTCCACTCAGCTGCCACATATGTCTATGATACACAGTATTGTGCCATTTCAGTCAGAAAATAGAATGTAATAGGCAGCTCAAACCAAACTCCTGAGAATCTCACAAAACATGCTCAGGTAACATTTCACAAAAGAAAAAAAAAGTTATCATTTTATGATATATATATAATTAAAGTAAAAAAAAGGTATGATTATATAGCATAAAGAAAATAATATAGATATAATGAATTATTTTATTTGACCAAATAATTGAGTCTTTAAAGTGATAAATCCACCTGATACGGTTTGTCTGGCCTAATTTCTTTGCAATAGAGGCTGCGTCTGAAAACTTAGGCAGCTGACTAGTTGCCTCGTGCCTTATCAGGCAATGACTTTGTAGGCAGCGTTTGCACACGAAGGTACCTAACAAAACTGATTTCGGACAGACTTCTGAGGCAGCGTAACGGTTTAATGATCTACAGCATAATAGAGCAAGCTTTGGTGATAACTAAGCAAATATTGAATCGCTACAATTAGTGATTTCTCGCTAGAAATGACATCACAAGTAGATTTACACCCAAACTGACTACCAACCGCAACTTTCAGATGCCATCTTTATTTCTTACTTCTCAGCTGTCACGAATGGAACGCACAGTATTGTGCGATATCAAAGGCAGCGAAGGATACATGCTCCCTGCCTTCAAAAATCAATCAGATTAAGCTATCTCACGAAACAGGAAATTAAGCCTTGCCTTGATGCCTTCCTACCTCGGAATGCATCCTCCGATGGCAGCGTTTTTAAGCTTTCGGACGCAGCCAGCATCTCCCATGTAGGCCTGGGGAAAGCGCTGAGCGAACTATAGGCATTATGGTGTGCATAAAAAAGGACAATTTGTTGCAACATTTTGTATTCTGCTTGAAAAGTGTCTGATGACATTGACTGGGGATAGCATCACTACGAAAATAAGACCAGGGGAAAAGAAACCTCTTAGATTTGGTCACCTAGGAAGCTTTCTGCTCCGGACCTGAGGCTGTCTGACTCTGGGCCACCAAAAATATACTAAGACAGGAAGAAACAGACCAGTAAATGCATGACAGTTCCATTGGCTACTGAAATCATGCAAAAAGGCTCTGTGCTGATTGGCTCTTGGCACCGCTGAGCATTTCTGCATGCCGGCACTAGTTCAGGGTGAAAATTAGCATGCCACCACAAAGACTCCTGCGAATATAGACAGTGCAGGGCTTTGGTTAGCAATTAGATGCAGAGCTTAAGCCTCAACTAGGAGAAATTGGATGGAACATATGGTGCTATAGTTCTCACTCCTCCCGGAGAGCATCTTATCTCAAGCATTGCAGATAAAATCAGCACCCCCAACTGCCTACAGTAACAAAAGATGCTCATGGCTGCAAACAACTGCCTTACATAGATGGACCGGGTGCTTGGATTTTGCCTTTAGTTAAGAGTGAACGCAATGCACTGCATTTTCAGAGAGAGCTAACACAATTACATGAGAGATATCTCATAGCTCTGGCTGTACTGGTTTGGATGTTCAGAGTCTATGCCGCGAGTCGTTACTGTAGCCCCCAGGGGAGCCCCGGTTGCGGTGAGGTTTGTATGCGTCTTGATAGGGATCATGGTAGTCCTCCTCTACAAGAGGGTAGTGGTCTCGACTTTGCTGGGAGCTGGAGGACAGGCGGTTATTACTCTTCTTTTGCCGCTCGTTGTTGTGGTAGTTCTCATCGGAAGTCATCAAGCTGTGTCGCTCCATTGGAGAGTTGTCGCTGATGTGATTGCTGTTTTTATTTCTTTGACTCTGTTGAAAGGTCACCGGTATCAGCTGTTTCTACACGTTCTAATTAGCATATTGAAATATTCAAAACTAATTTTCTGGCTAAGTCCCAAGCCTTCACTCACCTGTAGTCCTGTGATGGCTGTGGGGTACGGTGAGAGCACAGTGGAGCCCAGGTTGCGGCCCAGCAGAGGGTTTAGTGGGGTGCTGAGGGAAGTGTGAGTTGCGCGCCAGTAGGCCTCCAGAAATTCAGCCAGATGTTCACATGCATCCTCGAGCTGGTTCTCATCCAAAATGACATCAAACATTTCCTGGAATGGGGCAGGAACAGCAACCTAGTCAATGTTTTATGATATGTCACATCCTTAATTTTCAATGTCTTCCATCCAAACACCTCCCTCCCTTTTGGCACATAGCGTCCACTTTTCACAACCCAATGAAATCCCAATTAAAGATTAAAAAAAAAAAATCTTGTCCCAATAAATAAATGTTTCACTCAGAAATACACAGTCAAAAGTTTGTGGTTAGAAAGATTTTTTTTTTTTTTTTATTCTAAGAAAAGAATACATAGCAAGGATGCATTAAATTGATTAAAAGTGACAGCAAAGACATGTATAATGTTACAAAATATTTCAACATTTAAAATAATAAGAAATGTTTCTTGAGCAGAAAATCAGAATATTAGATTGATTTCTAAAGATCATGTGACACTGAAAACAGGTGTAATGATGCTGAAAATTCAGCTTCGGATTACAGGAATAAATTACATTTAAAAAATATATTAAAATAGAAAGTAGAGTAGTACATGTCAGATTATGAAAGTAAAATGGGTTGTGAACACTGTCTTCAACAGAGAAGAATCGGACTATGTTCAGATTACTCTGGATACTCACTGGAGGACACTGAGCTAATTTGTCTGCCGCCACCAGTTGTACATTTAAATGCTTGCTTTGAGACTTCCCACGTGATTTGATCAGCCGTTGCAATACCTGCAAGCACACACAATATTACTGTTGAAGACAGAGACAACATCATTCAACTAACAGATACTGTTAATACTTCTTTAAAATCGGTGTTAAAGAAATGCAAAGGGGATGGTAAAAAAACATTATTTTATTGATAACTTTTTTTTTTTTTTTACCTTGGGAGAAGACACTTTGACATGGACAATAATGGGAGCTAAAGAAGTCTTGATGAGCTGGGCTGGATGGTTGATCGTGTCGGCATCCAGCACAACCAGCTGAAGGGATCTTGCCAATTCAAAGATTCGCTCAATCTCACTCTGAACCTCCGCTGTCAGAAAGAGGAAAAATTCACAAAAACCAAGTGTCAGCAGGATGTCAACCCAAAGGTTTTCCGGAAACCTTTTAGTTGGACGGTCGTCTAATGTTTTTTAAAAATGTTTCAGAATGTTCAGAGAACATTAAAAAGTAACGTTTCCATTATTTATGCAAAAATAATCAAATTGGATGTTTCCTCAACATTCACATAACAAAAAAACATTTTTTTATTTATTTATTTATTACATTCTTTTTAAACATTCAGAGAACTTTCAGAAAGAAAAAAAAACATTTTCATAACTTAATGGGAATCTTAGTTCTTGGAAACTTGGATATTTGGGAACATGCTGATTTACTAGTAGGAAATATTTAATCAAAGGGATACTCCACCCAAAAATGAAAATTCGGTTATCATTTACTCACCCTCATGTTGTTCCAAATCTGACTTTCTTTCTTCTCTGGAACACAAAATAACATATTTTGAACAATGTTGGTAACCAAATAGTTTAGGTTCCCATTGATTTCCATTGTATGGACAAAAATTACAATGGATGTCAATAGGAAACAAAAGTGTTTGGTTACCAACATTCTTCAAAATATCTTCTTTTGTGTTCTGGAGAAGAAAGAAAGTCAGGTTTGGAACAACATGAGGGTGAGTAAATGATGACTGAATTTTCATTTTTGGTGAACTATGCCATTAAACTAACTTATGTTAGTTAAATGCCCAATGGCAATAACTGTAAAAAGGAGCTGACATACCCAGGTTGGATCTGGTGTTGGATCTCTCAATGATGGCTCTCTTACTAGGGTTATTCAGCACAGATCTCTTGGCTAAAGAGATATCTGCAGTTACTCTTGTGATTGATATCCTATAATTAGGAAATAAATATGGTGAAATTATCACATTGACAAGAAAGGTATTCGAAATCCACAACATTAAAAGTTGACCCTCACCTGCCTTCAAACCTGTGTTTCAGGAAGTCAAATAGTGCTTTCTGCATCATATCTGTCACCTGTGTTCAAACCCATGAGGGCAGGAGAGTAAACACAAGGAACAAAAATGCATATGTAAAATAATGCGATCATCAACATTAAACAGCATATAAATCAAAACTGCCTAATGTTACTGAATGAAATGTTGATCCAGGACGAGCTATAAGACTGTGAAGCTTTGAGGTGTCGATGGACTCTATCTACTCCATCAATGTTTTGATCATTTGAATCTGACCCAGACGTAGTTTTTGACAAAAGCACAATTTTTCTCAGCTTTTTGCTCAAAATGTTGCTTTTTTAATGAAACTTACCCACATTCAAGTGTTGATAAAAAAGAATGCATAAAGCTAGAATAAAACTGGGTTTTCTTGTTTAAAAGCAGAGACTATTCTTTCTTTTGATATATTGCATGGTCAGATATTCATATAACAAAATATTCTGGGAAATGATCAAAAATGCTGGCGGTAGCTGGCAACTTAAAAAACAACAACAACAACAATGCTTTTTTTAAAAGAGTTAAGAAGCAATGGGAAACATCTACTGTACTTCAACAGCATCTAGCCAGGAAACAACCAAAATATGCAGTCTGTCTTAAATAAAGTTTGTGAAGGAGCAGATGACATACAGTATATGCTTGCATAAAGAAATTAAATGAGCAAACAGCCGTTTAGCATTCACAGATCAATCATGATATACGCTTCAAGCCTTGCATGCCTTGAGATCTCATCTCTAATATTCAGATGGTGCATGCTAACACACTTGTCACACTGATTTCTGGGATGGTGGTTGTTTTTTTTCTGTTTCTAATTTCAAACCATGCTCCATTTTTGAGACTGGCATGTTGTACCCAGAAGGTTGTTGCCTTGGCAACTCTGCTTGGAGATGATGACTGCTATTCAGTGACAAACCGACATCCCCTCTCGCTTGCTGCTTAAGAAGTGGTGCCTTGGTTACCATGTCTAAATATACACACGCACACACCATAGGGATTGGGGAGACCTACCTCATATCCTTTAAGTGATGGGCCAACTAAGACCACCGGCCTCATGGAAGGGACCACATCGTATGGAGGAATGTGCTCGGCCTGCAATATAACAGCAATTTAGACGCAAAATAATATTCTGTTTATTTGCACTACAATAACCCCATATTGATTACTACATGAAAAACCCTGCAATGGCTCGAAACAGCAGTCTGTAACAATAATAGGGCCATTTTACAGAATTTATAGAATTGACAAATGAAATACAATGAACTCACCACTTTCTGTTTCTGTTTACCTGGGATGGTGAAAAAGAGGAATTTTAAAAAGCAGATTTTTTAAATCAGACACAAAACCAAATACTGTACATCAAAATCAGATGTACATCTACTATTTAAGAAAAATAAAAAATAAAAAAAAGAATTCAACATATTTCAATGTCTAGCATTTCTTCTGTATGGTTTTTAATACATTTCATAAATGTTCCATAATCACTGCTATTGTAAAAAAATCAATTCATTCCATAATTTCTCTGGAAATTGCTATAAAATCAGCCTGTAAATCTGAAGTGATCTGGAACCCTTTAGTAAGGGTAAAGACTGAAGCTGACCTGCAGAAGCAGGGTTGGGCTTGAAGCTACCTGACACCATTTCACCCAGACTGGAGGAGGAGTTTCCACTGGACTTCCTGTGGGCGCGGAGTAAAGAAAAGAGCAAATTAGAGTTAATATTACAGTAACAGACATTATGTGATGGAGAGACCTTTCACTGTTTTTATTGTGTTCGAACTGCTCTTATGCATATTTTAATATTTACGTGGGGTTCGCTGGTTTATATTCCTTGTTTTATCTGAGTGGGCGTGGCCTTAAAAAGAAAGCACGAACCTAGGGAAACGCTCATATTAACTAATTTATGGAAATGTTTTTGCAAGTGTATGTTTTGGCTTTATCCATCCTTTTTTATTGTGTTTACTGATGTTGGTTTTCACTCTTGTTCTTAATCATCTTATGTATTTATTTATGTATTTATCATATGGTGAGGCAAGAGTTAACTTTAAAAACGGTATGTTCCAATTAGTAAGAGCAGGAAAGATGTGTATTTAAGATGGCTGTCACTAGCAGCAAGAGGTGGTTTTAGAGTAAATTTGAACACGGTTATTGTAGTGCTTGGTGAGCGCAGTGAATTGCTGAAGAGGGAACTGTTTTTAGTACCTAGCAGTTCTAGTTTTAAGACTGTTTTTATTAATAACCTTAGTTTTATTTACTCTCTTAACCATATTTATTTGCACATTTTGCACATCCACTTTAAAAACATATTTTTGGACACCAAAATCGCTTCTGTGTTTACACCGTGATCCTTCTTGTGACCCCTTAGGTCCCTATCATACATAATATATGATATACTACTATTATACTGTATATTATACCAACTATACCTACTTTTTTATAATAGTTTTTAATACAAAAATGTGAGCTTATCACATTGCATGTCTAATCAGAGTCCAGCTATCTCAGAAATGAAGAGTCATTTTGTTTTTAATTACATTTTGTGTGAAATTTTGTGGCAATACGATCAAATCAAGTTTTGCATTTTTAATCTAATTTTGGGTACATTTTTGGCAGTCTGTATCAAGAAAAAGATGTTAGCAGCTAGAATAGTGTATGCTATAAATGTATACATTTCATCTGTTATATTTAATGCAAGTAAATTATTATTATTTGATCCTTATTTTAGAAACACTACTTCCCCCCCTTTGTTAAGGAAAGAACAGCAATGAAGTATAAATGCCTTTGTCCTTCAAACACTATCAGAGAGAGTGGTGAGGTATAACTACAGCGTGACTCAAAAAGAGAATGCAACATCTCATTCAAAGGGTTTATGTGTCATTTCTTTAAATAAATATCTACAAGTATATGAAAGGACATTGCACCAATTCCAAAATTAGTTGGCCCATGAATACCTATCTTGTGTTCAAAATAGAACAGCGCTGCAGCGAACAATGAGGAGGTACAAGGGTATTTGTAATCATCTTGGAATTTGGCTTTTGGAATTACACAGTGGAAATCTCTTCTGTCTGTGTGAGTTGTTTTGTGTGTGGACTGGAGCGTGGTGTTCGGATCCCCCCACTTTGGTCTAGTTTGGTTTCAGTTTGGAATCAGGGTTTCGGAGATTCATGCTCCAGCATGCTGTTTTGAGTCATACCCTCTTCTGTCCGTGTGTGTTGTGTTCAGTGTAGCACGTTCGTGTTTATTTTCGGCCTCGTGCTTTCATGTTGTCATGTTTTGTGTGGACACAGTCGGTTGACTGTGCGTTCGTGCCCTGTTTTGTTTGAGCACGTGGCTTGTGATTGAGTTCACCGGCAATGTGCTTTTATTTTTGTCATGTTTGTTTCTATGTGCCATGCGCTCTCCCGTCTATTGTCTTGACCCCGCTCTTCTTGTTATCTGATTATTGATTGCCCCACCTGCTCTCCCTTGTTACCCTCCTGATTTCTTCTCCTATTTCTTCTCTTTGAGTTTGCAGTCCTGTGCCAGCTCGTTGTCTAATGTTCCCGTAATGTGTTTCCTGAGTGCCTTGCCTGTTCCTGGCCTTCCCTGCCCAGTCCAGCGGCCAGTCATGTTTTCCCCCACGGGGGAGTTTTATTTGTTTTTGTTTTATTTTTATTGTTAAATAAAGCCCATAACTCATCTTGAGTCCTCGCCTCATCCCTTACCCCAAACCCTGACAATAATACATATCTTTGCACCTCAAGAGCTGTTTGTGATGTTTGAGTTGGGGGAGGTGTGAGTGCCATTATTGCGCTAGGTGCCAATAATGTTGCAGAAAAGACATACTTCACCTATAAGGCTTGGTGTAACAATCATTACTCTCATGTTCTCCAGTCTTACCCGTGGAAGCGGCCCCTTTTTTGCTCCTGCTGTAAGCGAATGTTCTCCAGTTTTAAGGGACTGGGGATGAAACCGATATCACAACCTTCCTTCACCAGTCGCCCAATCCACCAGTCATTGTTGTACTTCTGTGGAAATACAGAGAGGACAAAGGAATGTGTATAAAGTCCATTTATAAACTTTCTAATATGTGAAGACAGCTAGACAGGCTCTCATTATATTAATGCCTTCGTCACCTCCTTGATGTGAAGGAAGTCTTTTGCATCAAAGGAAATGGCAGTGCCAGCGACAGGGACATCCTCATCTAGGGCACCACAGTAGCTGACGTTTGTTCTCACAGCGAAGGCCACTGCCTTGGCCTGAGATAGATATACAGTAAAGCACATAGTGATGAATGGCATATCAGTGCTGTTTTAATCACTACAAATTTGGTTCTCCAGCAACCAGATAATTGCATCAGAAAACATTTTAAAGATGACATATTATGCCCTTTTTCAAAGTGTTGATTTTGTTTTTGGAGTCTACTAGAATAGGTTTTCATGAATGTAAGAAAAAAAAAAAAAAAACATTTTTCACATATTTTATATTGTAGCAGCACTTCTCTTCTCAGTCTGTCAGAAACGCTCTGTTCCTGCCTCAATAAAGCCCCTACTTCCGAAAAGCACAATGTGCTCCGATTGGTCGGCTGGACCAGTGTGTTGCGATTAGTCATAACCGTGAGTTTCAACACACAACTTACGCAACTCAACCAGGCCGTGCCCCTTGTTTTGCATGGGAATTATTTAAATGATGGATATTGTGACGTGAATGTTCCCGGAAGAAAAATTAAGACTACAATTGAGGCGTCTCAGAAACAGTGCTTACTGATATATAGAACAACTCCCTTTGGAGTGGACTTTGTAACTTTGCAGACCTTTTTCATATTTTCAACATTATACACTAAAGAAAGCTGAAAATGTAAAAAAGAATAACAGGAACCCTTTAACAATTTGGATAATTCAAAAATAAAAAAGGCATAAATACAGATATATCTCTGGTTAAGACAGTCTGACCTTTGCCCTCTCCAGCTGAACGGTGGCCTGCTGTTCTTTCTCCTGCCTGCCGCCCTGCTCCTCGTCCAGAGAGACATCCGAGTCAGACGGTCTGCTAGTGTAGGAATCGGCGGAACCCTGCACACACATGCGAATACCTATCAATGTATTGTCATTCCCACAAATCCACTAAACAAAGGAAGCCCTTAATTTGCTCTTGCTTGTCAATACTGACAAACATGTATTATACTATGCACTCAGTAATTTTATTATTATATCTAAATAGGTTTAGCCTGTATTGAAATGTTTTGGTTTTAAATAACTTTTCATTGCAGTGCATCAAGCAGAAGCTGATAGTTTTACTAATATCTCATGATTAAGGGTTGGAAAAACCTTAACAGCCATAAAAATAGAGGGATAGTAATAGTGAAATGACACATTATCAAGGAGAATGTGGTAAGCATGAATGTCTTCATGGGATAGGGAGGGAGTTTAAATGACTGGTAAGATAAAAAGGTAAGATAAATGAGTACTTAGTTGTGTATCACTGCAATATTTCTTCCACCACATAATTAAAAAACAGACCTTTTGATTAAAAATTACAGTACTGTAATTATCATACACTAATGTTGTCAATTACACAATACACTATACAATACACTAAATTAATAATGAAATTTCCACAAATATTAAACACAACAGTTTTTGTTAATAAGTAATGTTTCTTGAGCACCAAATCAGCATATTAGAATGATTTCTCATGATTTCAACAGTTATTTTAAAATGTAATAATATCGACTGTATTACTGTCAATATTACTGTTCACAATATTACTGTTTTTTGTTGTATTTTTGATAAATAAATGCAGCCTTGGTGAGCAGAGCACAAGATACTTCTTTTAAAAACATCTATAAATCTTACCAACCCCAAACAAATCTATGAAATGATAAATGATACAAGTAAAATACTAGGAATTCCACCTTAATATTCAGTGACATGGCACAGAAAAAGGCAGTTCCCAGTTTGCATTGTGAGGAACATGAAATCACGAATAACAAGTTATATTCCGTCGCTTCATACATTATCACAAAGAGGCGACAAGGCAGATGTGACACTTATGAAACCAAGTCCTGTAAGAGTGCAGTAAACAGGTCTGATGCAGACTTCACAGTGTTTGTAAAGCTGAGAAATACAGTCGACTGAACATGTGCAGATCTGAACAAGACCAGATCAAAAGCAGAATTATTGAAGCTGACAACCTCAGAGTCAGAACTATTACATCTTGGTCAAGTGATTACTGTAATCTATGACTGGGAATGAGAAAGAGAAACGGAGAAAGGATCAATAGTCAAAAAAAAGAAGAAAAAAAAAGGGACAAACTATAATGGAGAGCAAATTTGCTTCTCAGAAGTTCCTCCTGAGAAAAAAAAAAAAACTTATTTCACAAACTGCAAGTCAGGGATTTAAATATGCGGTCAAACGTTTATCATCAAATTCTTCCAAGAACAAATCATCTTGCTATTAGCTTTATTATTGATATTAATTTATAGTAAGTACTAATTGTCTTTTTATTTGTCCAAGAGAACTACTTAATCAAATCTAAACTTACACAACATAAATAATCTTTTATTTTCCTGGAACAGCAGGAAACTAGTACTGCAAACCGATATATGAATAGATGGATCTTCAGAAGGAATATCTTAGATATAAACCCCACGTTAAGTGAGAAGGAGGAGTCTGTCAAAAACAGAATGGCACTTTACTGAGACACATTAAAATTGCAAAAGCAACATGTGCTTTGATCTCCAAATCAAAAGATTGTGCTCAAAGCCAAAAATATGCCTTGAAGGTTCATTAACCATATAGTTGTGTCCCATAAGAACATATCCACTAATCATATAATCCACTAATATTCTCTTTATAACTACAATACAGTCATCCAGCATCTAATACAGCACTTTTTTTACTTCAACACCAGCAACTACTGTATATATGCCATTAAAGGAATGTTATAATCTTATACAGAATCTTTGACGTGTCGATTACTTATTACAAAAAATAATCTGTAAAAACAGTACATTAATGCACTTACAATGCATCGTCAATGAGGTAAGGACAAATTCTAAGTTCGTGAAGCCCGCCTAAACGATATTCCATCTCAGACCCCCTAAAAATAAACGATTAACTCTGTTACCACCATCAAAATCTGTCTGAGATCTTGCTTCAATGCTTGCTGAAAACAGAAATCGGGGTAACATATCAGATTTTACATTGAAAACATTGAAGTTTATTTCATTATGTATTGTTATATCCTTTGTATACATGCATCCATGTTGTTGTATCCATTGTATTTTATGCTCCATATTAAATCCTTTAAAAGGACAATAATAATGAAGGTGGTATTACTTAATGTGTCAAATTATCTTACAACATATAAGATAAAATGTCTTACAGCTGTCTGGACAAATAACATCAGTGTATCCCCGGATGCAGTTTGACAGATGATGCCCATTTCTATCTTTTCTGTGTTGGTGTGGGTTCCTGAGTCGTCCTCTTGGCTGAAGTCTGATATTGTTACCATCACAAGAGCTGTAAAATACACACTGTCCCTCACTTATATGTAAAGAACACCAAACTGCAGAGAGATTGTACTGCACCAAACCTAATGTAGAGCAAAAAAATAAAGATGATGGACTAACAGAACACCATAAATGGAGTCATTTAAATCACCATTCTTTCTCAGTTTGGACTTCAGTAGATAGTCTTCTTGACCATGTCTACATGCCTAAATGCATTGACTTGCTGCCATGTGATTGGCTGATCAGATATTTATTTATGTTAACGAGCATTTGAACAGGTGTACCCAAGTGACCGGTGAGTGTGAATGTGACCCAAACTAATAAAAGGCTGAAGAAAGAAGAAAGACTACAGGAGATTGGTGAAGCCCATATGCCAAAGACAAGCACACACACATTCCAGCAGAAACGCCTCATCAGAGAGAAACTGATTCTATTCATGTACTCCCTCAAAGGTACATGGAGACATCCATCTAAGGGCAAGCTCACACTACAGAACTATGAGATTACATAAAGTTACATGGTTCTCACAAGTTTTCTTGTTGTCTGTCTGTCCTTATCTTGTCTTAAAAGTGCTCATATTAACACAACACAACGCTGATAAGATGCACAAACAAAATCTTTGGCCAAGCGGAAACAACGGAAAAACGTTTTCTCATACAAATTCACGTAAGACATTAGAGAGCCGCTCATATGTGCAGAAAAAAGATGAGACAAAAAAAGAAAATTGGGCAGAAATACACATGGGCTGGCTGTCCATGTCTGTTCAGGTAAATAAATTATATCATAATGTTAAGTATATTGCAAATACCACTTATTTACAGTTTAAAAATATATTTCTTGTTAGTTTAATTAAATTGTCAAATTGTCACATTGCATTCATGTACATTAAGGTGCATGATATCATTAGAGCAGTTTACCATGTTGTTTCATCGTTCACACTAAAATATCACGTGGCGATTATATCAAACAGGTTTGAAAATATCGCAGCGTGTGTGATTGCTCGTGACACGAGATCACGTCGCCGACATGCTCATATTTGACGAGCATCAGCGACAGCAACGAGCACCGATTTGGCCGTGACCCGAGGATTTTGATCTGTCTGCGAAAGCAAAATCCAGCCAAAAGTCATGTGGTGTGAGCCTGCCTTAACTCTATGATCTCATCACTTCTGCAAGTTCATGGTTACTCACTTTTGTGCCATGACAGATGTCTCTACCACTGCGGGGGATGAAGGAAGCAGACGAAAGGCACAAAAGATATCATTCTTTTGTTTTAAGTAGCTTAGCAACTAAGGAAGCAACTGTATTGCGACCGGCAATACAGCATATCCATCTATAGATCTCTGGTTTGGTCTGGTCACTTAATGATTATATATCACTGACACTGAAATTTTGGAGCTCACATCCCTGGTCTTCACATTGCCCTCACTATTGGCCATCACACTAGATCATGGACCTCCATGGCCAGAAAAGTCATGTGACCAGTGTTACATAAGGCGATGTGCACTGAGGCGAGTCAAGTGACAGGCTCTGGATCTGCTCTTGATGACATCAAAGCCCCTGTAATTCATCCTCACCACACCTCGTTCCATCTTCTCATTCTTCAGCAGGCATCAGGACCACTGGATCATCAAACTATTCAGTTTAATACTGCAACACAAACAGTCTGTATCTTCAAAATTAGCTGATGCCCAATGACTTTTAAAAACAGGTTTTTTAGTCCAAGTCCATCACAAGTAGTACTGTTTTATCTGGACAGTAAAAAACAGTGAGTTTGTTTACATGCATGTTTTTAAACTGACTATGCTTAATAAGCCGACAACGTGTGTGGCTGTAACGGTCACCAGCTGGAGTGCCCTTGAGAGCCACCAGAGCCTGCTCTGCCTCAGTCTCCAGGCCCTCTTCCGCTCCACGGGCCTGGCCCTCCATCCCGCCCCCGGGTCCGCTCCACCTCCCTCCTGGACAATTTTAGGAGCATCTGGAAGCCTCTTCTTTGAGGGGGGGCTGTGTAACGGCAAAGTCCTTTAATGCAAGTCATGCCACTCGGCCGCCATCTTGGCAACGCCTCCGGGCAGCTATTTCGGACTAACAAGACCAGGCACCTATCTAAATGAATGGGCAGAGAGTCAGAACTGCACTTTCACTGGTCACCGGGACATAAAAACTGCATGTATAGAAACAGCAGTAAATTATGATAAAAATCGCTGAAAAGGTTTGATGACTTTGCCCCAAAATAAGGTTTAAAACGCCTTTTTCCCCAAAGGTTATACTTTTACTACGCATGCGCAAGGGTTCTCTCCCTCTGTCATGCGCGCGCTACACAGTTTGAAGCACAGTATGTGCGAGCTCTTGCTCGCTCGCTCTAGATTCCGGGAGATTTGAACTAATTTGCGGGCATCAGACAGGGAGCCGCTATCAATCTGCGGGAGACTTCTGATGTCTGATATTTACACATGTTGCACATACACTGCATATCAAATCTGCCGCCTTTTCAAACAGTAACGTATTTTGCGCTGTCGCAAACCTCAACTGTGCGCATGCGTCAGTGGAACCAGACGAT